TCGGATAGGTGCTTTTTCGCGCTGCTACGGAAATCTATCTGGCATAGGGCAAACGCAACCCAACCAAATCACTTATAAATATTCAAATGTACGCATTTTTCCTCAACAGATAAATCCTAGTAATGTTGATATTTGATACTATACAATAAACAGAAATTTGTGTGGAACGCATAAAATCTACAGCGTCCTTCCTCACGCATCTCTATAATATAGGGGTCGCCTCGATTAACACAACATTTTCTCTATGAAATTATACGCAGCAAAATCAAGACTGACGAATTGACAAAATATCTGTACGTAAGCGGTAAGCCCCATTAATCTTGTTATTATTCACACCAATTTTCCTCGCTCGTGATTCGTGGCCGGAAGCGGTCGACTTGTGCGAATTAAAAATATGGTTTGCTTAATTTAAATGCAGCGATTTGAGAGATTTTATTTTACAGCATGAAATAGCACTTATTGTCTCAGAAAAATATGTGTAGCCCGTTAATCTTGTCTATAAACCCTGCTTTTAGTGGTGTTAGATTGCTACCAACAATGTGTTATAGTGTTATTATTCACACAAATTTTCCTCGCTCGTGACTCGTGGCCGGAAGCAGTAAATGTTGTAAAATGAAGAAAATAAAGCCCTGTGAAGTTTGCAAATTTTCTATATATCTGTGTTACGCGTGCATGCCGCGTGGTAAAAGTAACCACTTTCGGCTCATGTATTATCAGTGAATGGCGCCCACATATGAAAAGAATTGGAGTGACAGTATAAAACAAGGTTTACGGTTTCATAGAAAATGCGGGTTAAGGGTGGCGCCGGATTGCGAATAGATTCTGTATTTTTTTTAAATTGTAATCAAAACTCAAAAAATTCTAATTTTAAAGAATTGTTAATGTCCTCAAAAAATGCTGATAGTTTTATAATTTGTATAATCCGTGAAATAGTATATAAGAAAATGTAATAGTTTTCGCAACTACATTTTCTAATTCATTGTCAAGTTTTACTTTTTAATGACATGTTTTCCTTCTCCTTTTTAGAAATAGATTTATTTATTTAAAAGCCCGGTAGGATAGGATTGTCTTAAGGGCCTGTTCCGTATGAGCCCGGACATTGTAATTTGTTTCACATGAAGCGGGCTAGCCCGGCTAGTGCTATAGAAATTCCCGCGCGAATTTTGGCGGGATCGCAATATTTGTTTTAATTTTGAAAAATGCTATTTTTATTGACGGAAACTGCTTCAGAAGTTTTAATATTGTTGATTTCTTACTTCTTTCGAATTCTTACATGCTTTCTATATAGAATAAAGCATGCGTCGTGACACAATTTCCAGCCCGGTTTGCCACTGGCCTGATATAGGCCCGGTTTAAGACCGAGAATTTTTCATGCGCCGAATCTAATGCAAGGATCGAGTTCATGCGACGCCAGAGTGGCGTCTGGTTTGACAACTGTGGTTTGACAGGACTCGAAGATGGGACTCTGAAGATGGGACAAGACAATTAAGTCTTATGTGCTTTTCATGCATGACTTTTCATCCAAATGACCGGCACTCAAACAACTTGTGGACGATTTTTCGCCTATCAGAATGGTTGTAGCATGAAAAAATGAACGGTACTTGACGTATTTCATCGTTTGAGTGAAACTGTCTCAAAACTCGATCAATACATTAAAATATGACCAAATAGTCGGGGTTTTTTTTATTCCTGCCAGTCAACTAAAATCCCAAAATTACGTCATAGCAAGAAAAATATACGGATCGGAATCTCACGTTCAGAGTTTCACGTTTTGAAAAACACTCCTAATAGTTATGCCATTAGTTATTCCTATTACAAAATTACGCCCTCATCTCGCGAATATATGGCCGACAGCAAACAACAGGAAACGCGGCATTGCTCATGACACCTTGTCGACAATTAACAGATCTTAAACGGCGGCGTCGACAGACTTTCATGCCTTCACACACTGCAAACCGCAATAATAAATATTTATACTATGAAATGTGCAACTTTAAAAATCCATGTCGTACAAGTATATACCATTAAAGTTTTGTTTTTCCGAAAGTATTTATTCTTAATAAAACATCTTATTAAATTGCAATGAAATTTAAATTGGGCTGCTATACTGATCGTGTCTGCGTTTAATGTAGCGCGTTTGTTTTGTCAAAAACTATGATTTTCCAATCTTATCATTTGCGCTAATAAGTCAACTAAAAGAGGTCGGGAATCTTCTAGTTAAGCCCTTCGAGTTAAGCCCCTCGAGTTAAGCCCTTTTCGAGTTAAGCCCCAACCACGCCCTGTTTTGCCAAGACCACGCCCTTTTTCAAAAAGGGCTTAACTCGAAGAACGAAACACGATTTGGGTCATTCGAGTTAAGTCCCGGGGCTTAACTCGAAGTTTGACAAAAAAGTTGTTGCTCGAGTTAAGCCCCGACTTTTGAAGTATGTCAACGAGTGCATTATTAAATTGTCAAATTTTCAATACAAAAAAGCCAAAGGCAAAGCACAGAAATTTTCCCAAAAAGAACTTGTATATCGCTAATGTAATACGATTATCTAAAACAATCACAACTATTATCGTTAACAATATTTTAGGTTTTTCATATTTAAATTAATATTAAATTTAACAACACTGAACAGGTAATTACTTTTAGTGGATCGTTTATCCACAACAAAACAACAAAACAATATTTTAATTATAAAGTAGATAGAATCCTAACTCGTTCCTTTTGTTTGAATGTGCACAATATCGACAAATTAACAGTTTGACTGTAACAAAAAAGGTACAACCTTTCCCATCACCTTGAACAAAACTAATCTATTAAGAAAATGATCGAAAATGACAGCACGTAATAACTAAAGAAAAAGAGCGGAAAGGGAAGGAATTTCGGTATAGAATGATCTGTCTTTGACAACTTGCGCCCAGAGATTCACGCCTCATACGCACATCGGCACATGTACAGTAATTTTATCAGCCAAATGAATGGTTATGAATCACGAATGGTTTCATTTGTGTAAACAAATTATCACGGGGAGAAATTGTTACATTTGAGTAAATACCCAAATGTAACAATTTATCCCCGTAATAATGGCGCTACGTCACCATTTCGTTTATAAAGTTACTAATGGCTCAGCAAATATTCCCTTTTTAATAATACAAGTCAACGTAGCGCCATTATTACGGGGATAAATTGTTACATTTGGGTATGTTACTCAAATGTAACAATTTCTCCACGTGATAATTTGTTTACCCAAATGAAACCATTCGTGATTTGTAACCATTTGGCTAATAAAATGACTGTACATGTGCGTATGAGGCGCGAGTCTCTGGGCGCAAGTTGTCAAAGACAGATCATTCTATACCGAAATTCCTTCCCTTTCCTCCCTTTTTCTTTAGTTTTTACGTGCTGTCATTTTCGATCATTTTCTTAATAGATTAGTTTTGTTTAAGGATGGGAGAAGGTTGCACCTTTTCTGTTACAGTAAAACTGTTAATTTGTAGATATTGTGCACATTGAAGCAAAAGGAACGAGTTAGGATTCTATCTATTTTATAATTAAAATATTGTTTGTTTTGTTGTGGATAAACGATTCGCTAAAAGTAATTACCTGTTGTTAAATTTAATATTAATTTAATATGAAAAACCTAAAATATACCTAAAATACGATAATAGTTGTGTTTGTTTTTGATAATCGTATTACATTAGCGATATATAAGTTCTTTTTGGGAAAATTTCTGTGCTTTGGCTTTTATGTATTGAAAATTTGACAATTTAATATTGCACTCGTTGACATACTTCAAAAGTCGGGGCTTAACTCGAGCAACAACTTTTTTGTCAAATTTCGAGTCAAAGCCGTCCATCGACTATTAGTGGAGTCCCTGAGGTAAGGGAGGGTGGCATCATAACTGCGATGAATGTGGGATGGGTGTCACCTATGGGCACAACATTTTTAAGCCAAAAAGATCTTTTTATTGGTCTTTTCAAAGTAGTCTGTTTAATTCTAAGCCAAAAGGATCCTTTCAAAAGGGCTAGATCCCGGCAATTTGACGGTGTTCGTCTGAATTAGGTTGCATGTTTTATGCTCCTTCAGAAATCCGGCATAATTTGTCAAGAATGACTGGCTTGTTTTCAGCTGGCGTCGAGCAGGAAAATCGGAATAGATAAGATAAAAACTTTATTTCAGGTGCGTATAACACCTTACAATATAAACTGGTGGCCCTCCAATGTAGTATCGCTATAGTAAGCATGGATAATAACAAAGATTAAGACTGTGATGCACCATGCATGGTATCCCACTATCCCCGCTCGTTTATTAACTGAAAGCGCAGATTGCTCCTTCACTTCTCAATAACTCTACGTTCTGCGCACTCACTTTTATTCAAGAAACTTCATGTAAGTTATTTGTAAACACTTAAGGAGGCTCTGCGCAAAACATTCTCTAACCCCTCGAAATTATCGGGAATTGCTTGACCCCCTCGGAAATATTTGGAAATTTCTTGACCCCATCGAAAATTTTTGGAAATTTCCTGACCCCATCGGAAATTTTCGGGAATTTCTTGACCCCATCCGAAATTTTCGCAAATTTCTTGACCCCCCTCAGAAATGTTCGGGAATTTCTTCACCCCCTCAGAAATTATCGGGAATTTCTTGAGCCCCTCTGAAATTATCGGGAATTTCCTGACTCCCTCAGAAATTTTCAGGGATTTTCCTGACCCCCTCGGAAATTCTCGTCAACAGGTAGTGCCCCTTCAGAAATGTTCAGAATTCTGCCCGGCCCTTCAGAAATTTAAAAAAAAATTTTGATCCCTTCAGAAATTTTGGTTTTACAACACCCCTCGGAAATTTTCAACTTGGAACCCCCTCAGAAATTTCAGAACCCTTCGGAAAATCTCGTCAACAGGGGGGTGTGGATATTAAATGGAATGGCCCTATCTTAAATAGTCTACATATTCCGACTACAGTACAAATAGCAAATCAAACTCGGCATACAGTTCCAGTATTTCGTATTAATATATGACTAAATGAACTAATTATTAAAAAGTAACTGACCTTTAAACTCAAGAACTTGATTGGCTTGTACACATTGGTTTCTTTGTCATATAGTTCAATTTCTGTTGCTTGTAAATGTTTTATAAACCAGTACAGCGAAGTAGCGAAATTTCGGGCCGTCTTTCACAACAAATAACATCACAATAACTGCACATCCTTTTCTCTTTAATACAGAATCGTTTTCCCTGTCCATTGAGTTATAATTTCCAAAACTAACGAGTCGCTATAACGTAAAATAAGCGGGTATTTGTGAACAAAAATATCCTTTGATATCCATCTTGTCTTCCCAAACATTACAGATTTTCCCGCCAAAACCCGCCCCCAAAGTCCCGTATGTACCTGACGTCACAAGTGTCATGGACGGGGGGGGGACTACCATATTTGGTGGTAAAAACATTTCTCTCGTCAAAACTATATTAAACTTTCGACCAATAAAAAGCAACCATCGAAGGAAAATTCATGCTTGACATTTCTTGTATAAATATAGTGCTTATAAACAATTCTTATAAATATCGAACTAATAATCGTACTGAAGTATGGCACCAGATTCTTACATTTTGTAAAGTAGTAATGTAAAACAGTTTTTTGCAATAGCTTTCAGCAATTCAGCCTGGTAGCATATTAAATTCAGCAAAGGCGTTGCATGGAAGTGAAATGAGGTTGGGTCAGGTTTTGTTCTAGCCGCCGGTTTTCTCATTGGCGGAAATCTTGGTGGGGCAGCCCCCCCCCCCACTTTCACAGAAAATTGGCAAATTTTTGGAAATTTTGACCTAAAAGAGGGCTAAAAACAATCTTTTCAAGTGCAAATGAGGGGGGGATGTCGGAAATTTGAGAGTTTTATCGGTAATTTAGGAGACTTTGCCCCCCCCCCGGAAAAAGTGAATTTCTGCCAAACATTTTATCTCAAGTATGCAATAAATATAAGTTGAAACTTTATTGTTTTTACATCACGTTTTCACCTGCATACATATAAAACTTGACATGCAAGGAAACGAGCAACAACTAAATATTTAATGTCAACAATGTTCAGTCTAAACATTTAAATGTCAATAAAATGTTTATGGTCGGTCATATTTTTGACAGGTCGGTCGGAAACCTGAAGCCAACTATTATTTTTATTTGGCCTAAGCCCACCCTTGTATAAGCCCATCAAAAATCGCTTACGAAAGTATATAAGCCAGGGGCCACAGAATAAGGTACACAGAAGGCCGACTTCTTCGTTTTCCCTATGATTTTGGTGTAACCCGTCATCAAATGCGGACGCCATGGTCCTAGCCAGTGTGTGTTTGAGAGGCATTCACCCCCCGATAATATTCAAAATGGTGGATGTCCAGGGGGGAATGCCTCTCAAATGCGCACTGGCTAGGACCATAGATTATAGATTATACCAGATCCCTGTTTTCGTGTCCGCGATTTTCGCGGGGCTATCACGCCAGATGACGCGTGCAACACTTACTGCCAAAATGCGTGATTGCTCACGTTTCATGCAGTGCTTCCATTTTCAAGGAAATTTCCTTTTCTAAGGAAATTCTACTGTCGAAAAGGAAAATCTAAGGAAGAGAAAAAATCTAAGGAAATCTAAGGATTTTTTCCGAAAAACTTAACTGTTCGCCCAAGCGCATTTGTGCTGAAGAAGGTTTCCATTTTTTTAAATTTTTGAGTGAATTATCAATTATCTTTAATTAAAAATCTGTTTTTAACTTTTTCCTCGTGTTTCCGAAAATTTCCGAAAGTTTTTAAGCGATGGGATTTAGTAACTTTTGGCGCCAAACGTTGTGAATAGTTAATTAATCATATCAATGTAAAGGTATCTCTTGTAAATTCATAACAAATATTTAATTTTAAACAGTATAATAGCCTGTGGTTTTTAGCTAGCCCATATCTTTGTTAATTGTGCTATTTTGTGCCTTGAAAATTAATTAAATCCTTTATTGCTGCAAAATCACTGCAAACTGCTTCATGAAATTTCAAGGAATTTTCAAGGAAATAACCTATGGAAATAACATATACAATCTAAGGAATTTAGAGAAATTTTGATGACAAAAATGAGAAATTTTGATTTTAAAAATGGAAGCACTGGTTTCATGGCATGGATTACACTTACTGCCAAAATGGCGGCCAACCAGGCCTTAAAATATCGGTCGGTCACGGACATTGTCCGACCCATTCGTGAAATTGTCCGACGTAGAAAGGAAACCACCGGACTTTCTGTCCGACCTAAGTGAAACTGAGGTTTATTGTTTGTCCGACCCGAGTGTATTGGTGTCCGACCGAACTGTAGCTTTGTCTGACGTAAATCAAAATGTTAAATGGAAAATCAGAATACTATTGTATAAAAGGTGAACTGGAAATGTTGTTTTAATGTAGTCGAGCGCGGGCGGCGAGCGAAATGGTGAAGTGGAAAACGGGCTTAAGTTGTCGAAGTCTTTTTAATACTGCTGTTCTGGAAAGCAAGTTAATTTTGGCTTGGAAATAAGTATGAAAGAAACAAATTATTTAATATTTTCACAACATTTACCGTTTATTCATTTGTGTCATTCAGACTTATTTCCGAGTCAAAAATGAACTGAAGGTCATCGGACATATGTCCGACCCAAACTCAACATCACCGGACATTTTGTCAGACGGCCCTGGAAAAGATATTTTAAGGCCTGCGGCCAACACGTGCTCATAAAAAATCGCAGACACAATTTTGGCTGAGTGAGACATCTGGTATGATCTATAATCTATGCTAGGACCATGGCGTCGAGTCGACCTGCTGTGTACCTTATTCTGTGCCAGGGCTTATGTACGAGTCAAATCCAACCGCGATCAGGCCCCCCCCCGGGCAATTTGACTTTTGAAAAAATAATTGGTCAAATGCCCGCCCGAACAGGCAGAAACCACAGTCAAATGCCCTGCTATAGGGGTAGTCCTATTTCTGGAATTTTGGCTATAATTAAATTGAACAAGTATTTCAAGATTAAAAAGAACGAAAAATAGGCCAGACAGTTCTTATTTTTGTTCAACTGGGCATATTGTATCATATATCTATGATTGATATTTGTGATTCAGAAGCAAATTTCAAACTATCGAAAAGACGCAAAATAGAAAACTCGTAAAGCGCTAGAATGCACACACATTTTTAGGGAAAACTGCTGAGCAAGTTGTTGTCAAGTAGTCACATGCCCGGCCGGGCCGTCAAATTCCCGACCGGGCTGTCAAATTCCCGCCTATACGGGGGTAATGTTAAGTCAAATGCCCTGGGGTTGCCCGGGGGGGGGGGCTGATCGCGGTTGGATTTGACTCGTACACAGTGCTCTCACTTTTAAGGAATTATCCTTAAAAATAGGAATTTTGAAGAGTTTTAAGGATTTTTTTAAGGAATTTAGGTTTTTGAGGATTTTTTTAAGGAATTTCCAAAATATTTTATCCTGGACTAAAAACGTTTTGACGGAGAATAACCACGCCATGCAAATGAGATTTAAACTTGAAAGTAGCAACATTCTATGCACATAATTACATATATTTGTATGTTCTCTATGTTGTAAATGTACATATGGCTGTCTTTCCATTAAAATTCTCAAAAGTTAAATGTCAGTGTATGCTGTTTCTTCTGAAATTTACAGATTTTCTAAGTTCTCAGGGTCCTAGCGACCGGAGGAGGGGGGAGGGAGGGTGCAACACCCCTAATATTGCTCATGAACAATTTCAGGTAGATATCCTGTAGATTTTCAGGTAAATTCAAGTAATTCTCAGGGCATAAAAAAGTGAACTCTCTAATCTGAATTGGAGTTGACAATCAAACAAACTAAAGACGTTGAGACGTGTTGTGGCAGGGAGACAATTGCAAAATACCCTTTCAGACGATCTGGAGACTCCAAATTTCCAAAATTTTCTCAATTTCCCATTATAAACTGAAAGTAGCAATACTTATCTTCATTGTTAGGCAATACTAAAATATTGGGTAGGAAAGACTCTAAAAATGCCATTTCCGACGGTCTAGAGACTTCAAATTTTCAAAAAATACGGTTTTAAAGAACGTTCAGTTCGAAAAATTCGGGTAAATCAGGTGGAAAAAACACTTTTTGCAACTCTGTGATCAGGCCTTGTAGTAATTTTACCAAATTTAAGGAATTTTAAGGAAATCTGAGGAATTTTCGAGCTTTTTCTAAGGAATTCGAAAATTTGATTGTGAGAGCACTGCTCGTGTGACTTCAAAATACGAACGAACGTTGTGTTTTATATGGAACTCTTTTTTGAAACAAAAGTGTGAACTTTGCTTTAGTTGAAAGCATAAAAGAGTTCTAAAAGCCAAAACGATACTTGGATGTGATGTTTCGAAAGAAGATAACGTAAACTTGTTTTTTTTCAAGCGGTATTCTGGATGTTTTTTGAACCGCCGTACTCGAGGTTCGATCGCGAACATTGGGATATGATATAAAGTTGTTTCCTCAAGAATTTGCAGTGTTTTCTCCACAATCTAGCAGCACTTATGACAATAAAGATGTCTTAAATAATGAGCCCTCTACGGGTGAAATGAGCAGGGCCGAAACTCCAAACATACCGCTATAAAAACTGAAATTTGAACGGGCATTTTGCGAAAACGTCCGACGATAGTATTAATTCGCACGGGATGAATCTCGGGACGAATTTTGACAAACGTTTTTCAAATTAATACCAAGAAGTCATAACCAGTAATTACCTAAATATCTTTGCCATTTTTACATGTATAATCCACGCTTAGTTGACCATTAACCGACACAGTTATAAAAAGTATATCAAACATAATTTATATTTTGTGATTTCAAAAAGTCATGCTTTGTTGTTTTTATGCAGAATGCATGTACACGTCAGTTGGGGGTATTAAATTGTTCGCGTAAAAATCTAGTAAAAATTGCCAAAATTAAACCCAAATTTCTCCGTTTTCCTTCGGTAAAATTTTTTAAAACTTTGCACATTTTTTAATATCGGTACAACAAGTGCAATATCCTTTTTTCGTAAAATTAAATCGAAGGGAAAATGTTTAATATTGATTTTTGACGTTTTTTAAATTTTCTAAGAAACGTATCGATTTAATTTTTTTAAATTGAGGGGAAAAAATCATTATACAAGTATTATCTTTTGTGCAAAGTTTTAAAAAATTTCACCGAAGGAACTTTTTAAAATGACCTGAAAAAGACAAATTTTGAGCTTTATTCTAAGCATGCTGTTGCCATGGCAACATATTTTTAACACAAAAGTAGCAATTTGCAATGTTCAGGAGAACATTGTCAATGTGTCCAATAAATTTCGTTTTCATGTCATGTAAAGTAAAGAAACAGGAGCCTCCTGAATACTATAGTGTAGTAAATTAAAAAACCCTAGGGAGCCACCTTAAATAACATTTCATATAGTTATAACTTGTAGAATGGCATGCATGACTTAAATAATTGTCATTTCAAAAACACGGAAGAACAATCACCTGTTCCAATTTGGACATGTTGCTCTCGAGGTTAGCAGCCAAATTTTCATATATTGCCTTTCTTTCGTCATATTCAGAGGTCACTTCCTATTAATTAGAATACAGCATAATACGGAATGACATGTATTACTCTGAACATTAGGTTTAAAAATAACACAAGTGAAGGCGCTTCGCGACATATAGCGCTGGCTACCTCAAAATCCTATCATATTGCTAATGATGTAAACAGAAGCATATACGACTAGCTTTTGAGCATTATTATTATTATCACGATCATAAACATAATCATAATCAAACTCTTATCGATGCTCGTATCAAACAATTATCATAATCATCATAATCATCATAGTCAGTCAATTATTTTAAAAAATTGCAATCTCCATATACCTGACACTTTTGTCTCATTGGTCTTAACTCCTTAATGATTGGAGCCAAAGAGGTTTTCTTTTCCACAATCGTAGAGTTTAATTTACGCACCTGAAAGGAAGGAAAGCAGGAACATCCTAATTAGGGATAGTTTGACAATTATTACCAGCAATTGGTAAATTAGCCAAGATTTATTGCAGTAGTACTGTAAATAAACTGACGTAACCGTAATCAAAATCATGATCCCATAACCATATGCTGACCCTATAGCATATACAAAATAACAGTAACTCCGAATAACATTAGCTAAAAAAAGCTCCGTAGTTTACAAAAGCTCCGTAGTTTACAAAAGCAAGCTCCGTAGTTTACAAAAGCAAGCTCCGTAGTTTACAAAAGCAAGCTCCGTAGTTTACAAGCTCCGTAGTTTACAAAAGCTCCGTAGTTTACGAATTTTCATGTCCGGGTTGTCGAAGCAGCTACATTGGTAAAACAGACCGCTGTCTATACACCCGTCTGAAAGAGCATAGCACACGAGAAAACTCGGAAATCAACGCCCACATCAACTGCTGCGAACATTTTCAACACATCAAATCCCTTATGGAACTTTCACCTGACTCAACTAACACTATAAACACTAATTTAACTCAACTAATATTTAGAAATTGTAAAATAATTGATAGGTCACACCACTGGTCTGTATGTATGTATGTATGTATGTATGTAAACTTTATTTAAAGACGTTAGCCTCGTCAACGATTTGTTGATTTTCACGAGGGACGTCTGTTACTATTAAAAATTACAAATATGATATAGAAAAGAGTCTCTGTTGTTATTCAAGGAGTCTCTTGTTATACGCAGACGAAAACCTGATCTCAACCACGGTGCGAAAGCTTCCAAAGAACTTCTCATATTTCATTAACTGGCATTTAAGCTCCGCCTTTCTGGATTTATAATAGCTGCATCTGTAATTTTACACTATTATTAATCCTGATGATGACTACAAACTAGTCGAAACGTCGATTAAAAATCAAAATGTTATTCGGAGTTACTGTTATTTTGTATTTTCTTAAAATACTGAGTGGTTCCCGTAACTATAGCATATGTGCGGTATGTTTCAAGTTGGACCTTGTTAATATAGCGACATGCACCATTGTGGAATTTAATAAACACCATCGATTAGTTTAATATTATTGTTTGACTCACCATATCCGAAATTTCATCGAGAGATTTGCCTTTCTGTTCATCCAAACCACTCTTAACAGTTGAAACTTTTTCCAACTCCTCTTGTGTATCGTGAAAACCAGAGACACCTTTCTGTGCTTCCAACTGGGACTGTAAATCAAATTCAATTGTGAAATCTCAAATACATGAGTTACATGTATTCTTCGCTTACAATGTCGCTACTGCCTCGTACCCAGGCGCCGATGTGTTATTCTATGGCTTGCGTGGCTTTTGTGTGGGCCGCGTGGATTAATTTGATCGATTTCGTGGTGAAGCTTCCCTCCGAATTTTCCGTTTTTCTCCCTCGCGTACCGTTCCAAGTGCCAAAGCGCCTGGGTACGAGGCAGATGCAGTAATAATAATAATAATAACTGGAAGGCTAACTCCTATGATGAAAGTCTATGATTCGTTGAAGCCGGCGCGCGGGAAAATCAGCTTTCAAAAGGACTAAGGAGAGTTTCGAGGAGTGAAAAAAATTCTGTCAAAAGTTTGTTTTCGAGCAAAAATTTGCAAGAAAAACACTTTTCCCATGGGAATACGACAATGTTTGGGATTTAAACCAAGTTTCCGATTAGTTCCGACTGTTTTACATCTCTCTGCAGCAAAAAGTAAGGAATTTTGCTTTTGTATTTTGAAAAAATGACGAAAGTTTGGACGTGCCGAAGGAAATCTCGCCGTTCAAACCAAAAATATATACTATAAAACATTTTGACAGTCCCAAAACGTATGTTGTACTACATCCCAGCTATTTTTATTGATCCTGAGCTTTTAGTCCTTGTTTTAGTCGCTTTTAAACATAAATAAATTGGCGTTTTTCAAGTGATGTTATTTTCGTCATCGGCATCTTGTTGGCCTTTGAATATGGCAATATTTTTGTCAATTTTCAAATGCTTTTTTTTCGACCTTAAAACGTTAAATCTTCTTGAAACTTCGCATACAGATGTATTTTGCATGGGTATAAAAAATTCCTGAGGTATGACGTCTTAGTTTTATCTTAAACTTCCAAAAACTCAGAAAAAGCAGCCTAAAACGCGCGGTTTTTCAGACCGTTCATGCTTATGGTCGTGTTTTTCGCATTTTTTTTGCTAATTCGTGATTTGTTTGCTTTGCGAATATTAAATTCATTTATCATACTATTGATATAAATTAAATTTGGTAGTATAACTAATATTTTGGGGCAAGATTTTTCTGATCAAGAAATGTGCATATTTTGAAAAAAAAAAATTAAAAAGGACTGGGTCTACCTACAAAAAAAGCTTCAAGCACGGCTTCAACTCCCCCCCCCCCCCTGACTTAGCCTTCCAGTTATTATTAGAGTTCAATGGGCAGATGTCACTACGTCTCACCAGGCGCCATCTTGGATGATTAAAAAATTACTATATTATTATTAGCCTATACGTGGCAGGCGGTTTTTCTATGGGCAGCGAAAATTAGGGAGGCAAAGGAAAAACCTTCGCCTCCCTATATTATTATGAGTTAAAAAATCATTAATAATTCATGAGAAAAATACAAAAGAAATCACTGCCGTGTCAGCGGTTTTATAAGTGATAAAAAATCATGTTCATTTACATAAACTTTAGCTTTGATTTTCTCGGCTTAGACAACGTTTATTTTTAAAATTACTTCGCCAAGACCTCATAAGATGAGTCGTTTTTTAAGCCATTTAAACACTCGCAGTCCGTGCTTTATTAGAAATAAAACACTGGGCTTCGCTTCGTGTTTTTATCTGTTAAAGCACTCCTGCTCGCAGGGGCGTAGCTAAGAGGGGGGGGGGGGGGGGGCGGGGGGGGGGGGGCGCCCCCCC